ATACAGGGCAAACCAGCAAAGACGAGGTACAGTAACTATCCTTTGTTTATCAGGGTGACACTATTGACTCATTGGAAACGGATGTGTGCCCTAGTAGAGGTGATGGATTTGTGGTGCTGCTCCCACATGCTGTGGTTCCAATTCATTTTAAACAACTACATAAAAATATGAAACAACTGTCTTAGGTTAGGATGGTATTAGTTACCTCTGTTATCCATATGAAAATTGTGTGTTATCTATGATCAGCTTTTTTTAAACTCAGACTGGTTTTTATATTTGTTTTTTTTTGGGGGGGGTGTTCTTTTTTTAAAGATGACCAGTAAGGGATCTTAACCCTGGTGTTGTCAGCACCATTCTCTCCCAAGTGAGCTAACCAGCCATCCCTATATAGGGATCCAAATCCATGGCCTTAGTGTTATCAGCACCACACTCCCCCAAGTGAGCCACGGGCCAGCCCTTTTATATATTTTTTTTATATTCTTGTCATACTTTCTGGTTGATTTCCTCTGCCAACATTAGTTGATTAAAGAGTGCAGTTTTAGGGCTGGCCAGTTAGCTCATTTGGTTAGAGTGTGGTGCTAATAACACCAAGGTCCAGGGTTCAGTCCCTGTACCAGCCAGCCCCCTTCCCCCCAAAAAAATGTATTTTTGAAAATATTCACCAAGGTATAATTAATTAGATAAATCATCTGAAGCAGAAAGATAAAGTCCTGTTAAGTCAAAACCAGCATATGCTAGCATTCCCACTCTTTGGTGTAAATAATGGGAACTAACAGTGTTAGCACTTCCTCAAAATGTTTCCATTGCTGCTTTTTTATATTGTATAAATTGAGGATCAGGTGTATGAATGAATACAAATGACACCGCTGTCATCTGCTCAGTGGTCAGTTTCCTTTTTCTTATAGGTGCTGTGAGGAGCAAAGGTCCTGTTGTCCAATACACACAGGATCTGACCTGTACTGGAACTCAGTTTAAGCCAATGGAGCCCTCACAGCCTACAGCTCCATCTGCCCCACCTGCTGCACCTGCTCCACCTCTATCCCCCCAAGCAGGTGACAATGAGTAAGTGCTGTTTCTTTTATTTCTTCACTTTCTTTCATATTATATTTTCTGCATAACTTACTATATGATTTCTTCTCTAATCTCCTAAAAGCTTAGAAAGCCAGCTTGCCCAGTCACGGAAGCAGGTAGCCAAAAAGAGCACATCCTTCCGACCAGGATCTGTGGGCTCTGGTCATTCCTCCCCTACGTCCCCTGCACTCAGTGAAAATATCCCTGGTGGGAAACCTGGGATCAACCAGCCATATAGGTGAGAAAAACTCAGGCTATCTGTGGGCAGCTTGGCAATGTAGACTAATGTTGGTAGTGTGGTCACTATCTAAGCTAAGTTCCTTGGCTCCAAGGGGCTTAATTTAAGGTTATGATGATGAGTTTGGACGTGAAAAGGAAGCTTTAACCTTAGGAATTTCTGAGAAACAGAAAGTAAGAATAATTGAATTATTCAAAACTGGGTGCCTAGAAATATGGTATAACCAGAAAGTCATTTGTGAAAACTCCCCATTGATTGGAATGCGGCTTTGTAACACCAAGGTCAAGGGTTTGAATCCCCATACTGGCCAGCTGCCAAAAAAAGAAACATGAAAGAAAACTTCTCATTGAACACAATGCCATCATTGCTACCATAGAAAGGAAATACCACAGCCTCTTTCCTTGAATCCTGGGAGCTTAGTAAGGACATTTATAGGACACAAAGCAGACAAAAAGCATTGGTAGAAGGCTGGACTCTACTTCCATAATTCACAAGCAAATGCATTTTAGGAAAACGTACATGTTGAAATAGAGATATTATCAGTCAGTGAAGAGTAACCAGGGAATTTCATTGTCCAGGTCAGATAAGGCAAAAGGAAGATCTGACTTTCTTGTGTCATCTTTAGCTTCAAGAGCACAGCTATTTGAAAGGTGAAAGAAATGGCTTAGCTAGCTGCAAGGATAGCTATACAACAGAGAGGTCCTGTTGCCTTCTGATCTGATCTCTTGCATCTCATTTACAGATCACCTTTAGGCTCAGCAACCTCTGCCCCAGCACCTCCAGCACCCCCAGCACCCCCAGCACCTCCAGCACCTCCAGCCCCACCAGCCTTTCATGGCATGCTGGAGCGGGCCCCAGCAGAGCCCTCCTATCGAGCACCGTTGGAGAAGCTTTTCTACTTACCTCATGTCTGTAGCTATACTTGTCTGTCTCGGGTCAGACCTATAAGGAATGAGCAGTACCGTGGCAAGAACCCTCTGCTAGTCCCACTACTATATGATTTCCGGCGGATGACAGCCCGGCGCCGAGTTAACCGCAAGATGGGCTTTCATGTTATCTATAAGACACCCTGTGGCCTCTGCCTTCGGACAATGCAGGAGATTGAACGCTACCTTTTTGAGACTGGCTGTGACTTCCTCTTCTTGGAGATGTTCTGTTTGGATCCATATGTTCTTGTGGACCGAAAGTTTCAACCCTATAAGCCTTTTTACTATATTTTGGATATCACCTATGGGAAGGAAGATGTTCCCCTATCCTGTGTCAATGAGATTGACACAACCCCCCCACCCCAGGTGGCCTACAGCAAGGAACGTATCCCGGGCAAGGGTGTTTTCATTAACACAGGCCCTGAATTCCTAGTTGGCTGTGACTGCAAGGATGGGTGTCGGGACAAGTGAGTTGGTTGGGGATTTGCTGCCCCTGCCTCCAACTTTATTATGGTTGCCTTTATTTTTACTTCTTCCTCTGCTTTATCTATACTGCTTTCCCCATCTCCCTTTACCTCCTCCCTCAGCTGGAACTCCTGCCATAAGGCCTCCAGGGAGGCTGGACTCTAAAGTGGGACTACATGTACTGGGTACATGTGTCTTGTGTTGTTTCTTTCTCTGATCCTCCCCCCTTTTCCTTTGCTTCCCTCCTTCATGCTTTCTTTTCCACTTTGTTTCATTCTCTGTCTCTTTCTCTTCTCACTCTCTCTTTCTTTGTCATTTCCTTTCTCATTTACATATATGAAAGAAGAAAAAGGAAATTTCACTACATTATCTCCATCCTTTTATTAGTGCTTCTAATAAAAAATAAAATTTCACTACCTTATCCTCATCCTTTTATTAGTGCTTCTTCTTGCCTCTAAAGAAAGTCTCACAACTCTAGCTGTCATTTTCTTCTATCTTATACAGGTCCAAGTGTGCCTGCCATCAACTAACTATCCAGGCTACAGCCTGCACCCCAGGGGGCCAAATCAACCCTAACTCTGGTTACCAGTACAAGAGACTAGAAGAGTGTCTGCCCACAGGGTGAGTAGTCAGAGAATGGTGGGGCACCTCAAAGGCTGAGGAGCATGTTCTTGTTTTTCTTGTTTTTTAAGAACCATCAGAAATCTAAAAATTGGAACCAAAAATATTTTTTTTTTTTTTTTAAAGATGACCGGTAAGGGGATCTTAACCCTTGTCTTGGTGTTGTAAGCACCACACTCAGCCAGTGAGCAAACCAGCCATCCCTATATGGGATCCGAACCCGTGGCCTTGGTGTTATCAGCACCACACTCTCCCGAGTGAGCCACAGGCCGGCCCAAAAATAAAATATTGAAATGAGCGTTTTATTAATTAAATCTTATTTCCTGCATACGTTTCTTTCTTGGGCATTCCTTGAAATAAAGACATAGAATTATTGTATAGGATCTAGCAATTTTCTGTTGTGGAAAAAGATGATCTTAATTCCATAGCTGTATGAGTGTCCTAACAGATTGTGATTTACTCTGGCAAGTGAAGTGTGCTCAGAGAGGCGAAGTAGGCAGGGACCTGATTACGTAGGGCTTTGTAGACCAGAATGAAAAGTTAGAATCAAATCATAGTGCTGTTAGAGGATTTTAAGCAGACAAATGATGTGATCTGCCTTTTTAAGATTACTCAGGTGTCTTTGTGGAACATAGGTCTTAAGGCAACAAAAGCAGAATTTGGAAGACCAGATTGTCCTGTAGCAGAACTACAGGAGTGTAGGCAAGAGAGGTGGTGGTGGCTGGGGCTTGCACTAACTAGAGTAGAGGTGGTGGTAGAGACAAAAGGATAGATTTGGGATCCATTAGGAAGTAGAGCCACAGAACGTGACAGATTGACTGTGGAGGGGGAGGGAAGGAGTAGAATCAGGGATAATTCGTAGATTTTTGGCTTGAACAGCTAAGTAGATGTTGGTGCTTTTTACTGAGGCTTGAGTGAAAATTCCACTTTTATTTTGTCCATGTTAAGTTTAAGATGGCTATTAGGCAATCCAAGTGGAGATGTGAAGAAGACAGTGGGTTTTCTGGAGAGAAGTATAAGGGCTAGACATGAAGATATAAGAATTATTAGCACAGGAGTAATATTTAAAGCCTGAATGAGTTCACCTAGACAGAATGTTGATAGTAGAGAAGGGGTTCCAGGAGAAAGCCCTGGATGCCCCAACATTTAGAGGTTAAGCAGAGGAGGTGGAGCCAACATATGAGATTGAGAAGGACAAGTCAGGGAAAGGAAGACAATGAAAGAGTGGGGTATAGCATGATAAATTGGTATATATAAACATGTGAATTAATAAACCTAGTGCTTGAGATACATAATACAGAACAGAAAAGGAGAGGAAAAATTAATGAAATAATTCAGAAAATCTCCCCTAATTAAAGGGTCTGTGTTTTTAAGTCAAGAGGGCCAATCAATCAGGTCCTAGCATAATGAATGAAAATAAATCCCCACTTAGAGATGTGATCATAAAATGTCAGAACACTGAGGACAAAAAGAAAATTTTGAAAGCTTTTAGAGAAGAGAAATAGACCACATAAAAAAATAAGACATGAAATGAGTTCACCCTTCCCAAAATAACACTAGAAGCTACATGGCAATTGAGGAATCTATTCAGAATTCTAAGGGAAAAATCATTCCAACGTAGAATTCTAAACTCAGGCAAACTGAATTAAGGTAGGCTAAAGACATTTTTAGACACGTAGTACCTCAAAGTTTTCCTTTATTCCCCTTCTCAAAAACATACTGGAAATGTTTACCAAAAAGAAGAGAAAAGCCAAGAAAGAGGAAGGCATACAATCCGGGAGACAGAGGATCCAACCCAAAAGAGGAGTGAAGGGAATCCCTCAGATGATAGTGAAGTGAAGGATGGCTTCCACGCTGACAGCTGTGCACTAGGTGTAGAGAACAGCCAGTGCTAGAGCAGGTCGGATGGCTGCAGGAGCAACTTCTTCAGGCAAATGGGTTTGATAGGCAACCTGACATGTCTCAGTATCTTCAGAGGAGGTTGAGACTACTGGGGAGATGGGGGAGGCGTGAATTTGTACTGAATACATAGAAAACTAAGCAAAGGAAAACATAGTTGTTAACTTTAGTTGCATAACTGTATTATTTCTGTTTTCATTATAAACAAAATTCTGAATCTATTAACAATGTTTGGATTTGATAATGTTGGGTGATAGCAACATGAGTGTTCATTATATCTTTTTAACATGTTTGAAGTGTTTCATAAAAATATTTTTGAAAAACCAGAAATAATATGTCACTCCCATGCTTAAAACTCTTTAATAGCTTCCCACTGCACTTCAGTTCTTATTCTAACTCTTAACCTTGGGTTATAAGACACTGTACTAACTGGCCCCTTCCTATTTCTCTCCCTCCAAAGTTATTTCATCCACACTGATATTCTTCAGTTCCCAGATCCAGTTCACCCAGTATTTTCCAGCCTATCTCTGGAGCCGTTGTACATACTGTGTCCTCTTCCTGGCATCCTTCCACTGTTCTTTGTGTGACTACCTTCTTTAACCTTGAGCTCTCAGCTTTAATTTCCCTTCCTCAGAGAGAGCTTCTCTGGTCACTCTAAAACAGGTCATTTTCACTCTTAATTCTTTCATTAAGCACCATGTTTGTGTTCTTTTTTTTTTTTTTTTTTAAAGATGACCGGTAAGGGGATCTTAACCCTTGACTTGGTGTTGTCAGCACCACGCTCAGCCAGTGAGTGAACCGGCCATCCCTAT